TTTCAAAACCCCCGTGCAAATGTTTCACAATCATATTCTATATAACAGTTAATTTACAATATAATAATACTTTCACATACCAAGAACCAGAAACAATGAATTTTTCAAAAGAATACAATCACATATAAAACTCATAAATACACTCTTAACAAGAATGTCACGCGAGACCGTATTTTCTAAAATAATATTCAAAAACTACACTGAACAGCCACGTGTCTCATAAAACAAAAATCTCACCTCGAGAAATATCAAGTAAAAAAAAAAATGTTAACTCTCGACTTATGCGATTCGCGAATCCTTGAATGCCTTAGATGCACGAGCTCGGCGGCGCGGCATACTCATAAATATTTATTTTTCTTTCTTGGCGTACGTTGAAAGGGTTCGAGCGTACGTCTTCAGGTTTCGATACCCCATACGGTGTACAAGGATTCGTCACTAATTAGGGCTTGATAAACGTTTATCGTGGCACGGGAGACACGGGAGTATCGTAAATGCGCGGCATGCACTTTTTCCCGTCTGCCCTAAGCAGCAGAATCTCCTTCGGGTCGCGTCGCATTCCGGCCAGTATCCTCTCAGCTGAAATTCTTCCCCGTCTAGATGCCGGAAGCGAAATCCGAGTGGGATCCACGCTCCGCGCAATTAACGGGAGTTCCTTGGTAGAGAATATCGGCTGACAGTCGATATCTCGCGACCTCTAAGCCGCTTTTTTCGAGCCAGCCACGAAATAAACAGAACCATTAACACGCTTTATAAATATGCAACGGGTGTGCACGCGAGAATATTGAACGACAGCATCGGCGCAAAACACGGCGAACAGTCGTCGGACAGGTCGACGTGTTCGGTGAATGAAGAAATTTTATTTTAAGGTTATTGAGATTAAGCAACGCGCGTTGTATTTATTATTGTAATAGCTGTGTGGAGTGGCTTTGGCGTTCGCGAGTTCCTTTGAACGTTATAATTTGATTAACCTTTAACCAGTTCGACGAATATACAGGTCATCTTAAAATCAAAGTGATACTAATTCTTTGAACGAAAAATTAGCTATTTTTTTCAAATGAACATATAACTCTTCTTCGTTTTGCTTTACCTTTTCGTTAGAATATATTGTAAGTGTATCTGGCATGTGCTAGATAAATGTACACTTTGTTACTTGATTTCATTGCGACCGTTATCAGAAATTTCTGATATTATGTTCTATAGTTAACAGGTTAAAGTTCAGTTTAAACTGAAAATTAACTGTTAAATATTCTTGTTTTTGATAGCTAATAGATAAATTCGTTGTATTTATTTGTTTTTAGTTATTTAAATAGTTCTGTATAATAATAGTATTAACTATATGACGAAAATTTTACTAGTTTCAAAATTCATGATAATTTATATAGCGGTCAGTGAGACTGCAAATGCATACTTGAAGGTTGAAATAATTTTTATGATGATCTGTATATTTTTATCTGTTGCCAATGCAGGAGTGTTGTTATTGGAAGATTATTATTGACCGATTTTATTATTCACTGTCTTCTTGCGACATTATGGTTTAATTGAATCAATTTTCATTATGTTTTTTAAGATTTCATG